TGTAACTTCATTATTTAACCGGCTATTGCGGCTGGATAGCTCGTTTATCTGCCGTTCAACGCAAATCCACCTCACAAAAAATACAAAAAATAAAGAAAATAAAAAATGAAACCTGATACGTAGCCACAGGTTGGAATATGCCTTGGAGGCCTGGCCCACCAAGCCCATGCATTACAAGCAGCGGTTGGACTTGAAGTTGCAAATTGAAACTGAAAGACGCAAATCGCCAAAGCACAAACCTGAGCCATACGTTGGATGAGAGGCTATCCTAATCTCATCCTCATCCACCTGTACATACATAACACACACCCACACACCCACTAAAACTAAACTAGTGTCTCAGCAGCTACTTTCGTCTCCGGTCCGCCATGGCTTCGGCTGCTTTCTCCATGGCCATACCATCTCTTCAGAAGAATGCCAAGGGATTTGCAGACTTCTCGGGTTTACGCAACTCTACAAGTCTTCCCTTTGTCCCCACCAACAAAACCTCTGATGATTTCCTTTCAGTCATTGCTTTCCAGACCTCAGCTGTAAGTCATCTGTGATACATAAATATATATGACTGATGATCAGTTGATCAATTCTAGTTAATTAATTAAGCTAGCTACCTACCTAGGATATGTATGTAGTTTTAATCAATTATTAATTTTTCAAAATTTCAATATTAATTAATTTGTTAGTTACTGTATGCGCGTATATATATTATGTATAGAATGGAAATGAAGGATACAGGAGAGGTGTGCCAGTTGCCAAGCTCAAGGTGGCAATAAATGGATTTGGTAGAATTGGCAGGAATTTCTTGAGGTGCTGGCACGGCCGCAAGGACTCCCCGCTGGATGTCATTGCTATTAACGACACTGGCGGTGTCAAGCAGGCCTCCCACCTCCTCAAGTACGACTCTACTCTCGGCATCTTTGAAGCTAATGTCAAACCTGTTGGCGATGATGCCATCTCCGTTGATGGCAAGGTCATCAAGGTCGTCTCCAACCGCAATCCCGCCAACTTGCCCTGGAAGTGCGTAATTAATTAATTTCCACATTTTAATTAATTACTACTTCTTTAGTGAAATACAGTTATTTCTAATTTATACAACAAATGAGTTAATTAATGTTGCTGATTTAATTAATTCTTCCTTCTAGAGATTTGGGGATAGACCTGGTGATCGAAGGAACAGGGGTGTTTGTTGATAGAGAAGGTGCAGGCAAACACATTCAGGCAGGAGCCAAGAAAGTGCTCATTACTGCCCCTGGCAAGGGTGACATCCCCACCTATGTTGTTGGAGTTAATGCCGAGGGTTACAGTCCAGATGAGCCTATCATCAGCAACGCTTCTTGTACCACCAATTGCCTTGCTCCCTTTGTCAAGGTCCTCGACCAGAAGTTTGGTAACTTTTAAATTCCCTTTTGTCATTTCATTCAATTTAATTGTAAATCAGTCCAATCTTATACTTATATATATGTACTTGATGAAGATTAAAAGACTTAATTTACCAAAGAGTTCAATTTAATTGATATATATGTTGTGAGATTGCCCCTTATGTATTGAGTATCAGTACACTGTGGTAAAGAAAAAAAGGAAGTTCAGTTCAGTCAAACAATTACTGTTATTGTTTTGCATGGAATTACTAATTACACGGCATGGCACTATCTACTATTTATGGCAGGTATTATCAAGGGTACCATGACAACAACTCACTCCTACACTGGTGACCAGAGGCTGCTTGATGCCAGCCACCGTGACCTCAGGCGTGCAAGAGCTGCTGCTCTTAACATTGTTCCAACTTCAACTGGTGCAGCAAAGGCTGTAGCCCTGGTCCTCCCAACTCTTAAAGGCAAACTCAATGGCATTGCTTTGCGTGTACCAACACCCAATGTGTCAGTAGTTGACCTAGTTGTCCAAGTTTCCAAAAAGACCTTTGCCGAAGAGGTGAATGCCGCCTTCAGAGAGAGTGCCGATAAAGAGCTTAGGGGCATCCTCTCCGTCTGTGATGAGCCTCTTGTTTCAGTGGACTTCAGATGCACTGATGTCTCCTCAACTGTTGATGCATCACTCACCATGGTTATGGGAGATGATATGGTTAAGGTGATTGCTTGGTATGACAATGAGTGGGGCTACTCTCAAAGGGTTGTGGATTTGGCTGACATAGTTGCCAACAACTGGAAGTGAATAAAGTAATTAAGATCATTTCTATCTTGCTACCTTTGGATTAATATTTTTGGCTTTGCTCACCTCCCATTTTGTTTTTGCTTTTAGAAACTCTGCTTTTCTCCGAAATTGGAATTTATTATTGTATAATTGTACTGTGGATTGTGGAACCATTTAATTTCTGTAGCTTTGTTTATGGAGTATAATCAAACTACTTGAATCTGAAATTAAAGTCCACAGGCATACCTGTAATGCCAATTAATTACGTTATTCACTGGAGAAATGAACAAGAGGAAATCACAATTGATCCTCGTCCGTTTCTTCATTCATTATAAATAAACTAATTAGTAGGGATGCATTCGACTTAATCACATAGCATATGCTTCACCCTTGAATGGAAAGATCGGGTTGGCATACAATAAGTAGCTCAGATGTATATCTTTGACATGGATGGTAAGAGGATGTGCAGCTCAAAGGAGTAGGGCATACTCTATCCAAGTGGTTTAGGCAGTGATTGTGACTGTAGCAGTGGCAATTCCCCCATATTCAGCCTCTGTGGAAGACCTAACAACAAATTTAGTTTAGGGACTAAAATGGTCAATTTCTAAAAGTTGAGGGATTAAACCTTTTTCTTTAGAGCCATTCAAAACCATTTAAAACGAATAATAACAGTTAACTACCTTCTTTTTTTTTATCTTGAAAATAATAATAATAGGTAAGACTAATTTTTACCATGAATTTATTTGATTATACTATATAGACTTAGGTAATCAACTATTCAAATAATTTTATTTTAAATTTTAATTAAAGTATTTTTTAATATAAATTATATTATTTATATTATTTAGTATTAAAATTGTAAAAATATCATTAATAAATAAATATAAAAAATAATTTTATTAAAAATATTTTAATAATTTTAATATTCAAACAAACAAAAAAAATATATAATCCATACCAATATTTTTTAAATTTTATCCTAAATTTGGCGTTAAAAATCATAACTCTTCAAAAATTAGGAGGTTCCAAAGCAAACTCGGAAGGAGATGGCATGGGAGGCACAGTCAACGGCGTGTGACGAAACAGGACGTTTTTGATTTCAGGAATTTATATTCAACTCTTTGCTTACGAATTATGCCGGATCCGCTCCGATGACAATTCTTGATTACAGTATTCGTTGATTCAATCGCATAAGAGAAACTAGGAACGGAAGCCGGCAATCGATCGATCGGTGATGGTGAAGGAAACGGAATACTACGACGTCTTGGGCGTAAGCCCTACTGCCACAGAGGCCGAAATCAAGAAAGCATATTATATCAAGGTAATTAATTAATGAATTAATTATCATCAAGTTTTATTCCTTCGGATTTCAATCAATCTGTGGATCCATTTTACACCTTGTGTCAACTATTTATATATGTATAATCAAGCAACAATTGCAGAAATTTCATTTTGGAAGTCTTTTGGTTAGAGTTCTTTATTCTTCTTATTCCATTTGGGCTCTGGAACTAAAGATTAAATTAACAGCAGCAGTTAATCGCCTTAGTAGTTGCTCATTTGTTGTATTTATAATCAAAATTTCGTATTAAGTGTTTAAATAAATCTGTTAGTTTGACATATTTGAATGTCTTGTATCAAATAATGGGTTTTTTTTTTTTTTTAAGTTTTGCTCTTCACTATTTGCAATTGACAATCACACTTCCATTTGCATGCAGGCACGACAAGTTCACCCAGATAAAAACCCAAATGATCCTCTAGCAGCACAAAATTTTCAGGCAAGTCTTACATTTTGGATCTTTGTTTGGAAAATGAACTAGTCAAAACACCAAATTACTTCTCTTCTTTTAAAGCAAAATTGTTTATCTTTTGCATCAGAAGCTTTTTTTTTGCTAGTATTGCAATTGGTTTTATCTCTTATGCAACGCTGTAAGAACCTTGTAGCAAGTGAAATCACTTCATGATACTCATGCAACTGATGCACAAGTGCCTACAACATCAGTTTTTTCTGTTTAGTGTTGGCAAATTTCACATCTGATGCTCCCAAGAGCATTACTTTTAAGCATACCTTGTCTGGAGAACATACATATCTTCTTTCATTAAATGGGTATGGTAGTCACATAATCATTTTAAAACCCAAAATAATTTATGTGGGGACATAGATGGGTAAATCTTCCCAAACTTGTGGGTTTTCCTTGGCGATATGATTTATACCTTTTAATGTTATGATGAGACAGGGACAAAGCCAGGAATTCATATTAGGGGGTTGAAACTTCCATTTAATTTAATTTAATTTTTGAAGCCTTATTTTAACAATTTTTACTTGAGAAAATGCTCTTTTGTTGTGGGTGTAGATGCTAGAAGAGTAAGTACCAAAATAATCAACTTGTGAATGAGAGTGGAGATATCTAAATTGTTGACTCCACAAGTCAGTCAATTGAGAAGTTAGCTGGATCTCACGAGGGGAATCGTTGCAAAAGAACATCATATTAAATAGCATCTGTTAATCTTTAATGGTGAAATAGCAATGTTTGATGACTGATGACATAGCAAAAATGCCAAGGGACAAAAACGAACATAAAATATGGACTGGAGGGATGTTAATGAACAAAATAAGGAACATAGAAGGATACTATTGAACAAACACGTTGTATAAGGATGATAATGAATAATTTTTCAAGTACAAGGACTTTCATTGACTTTAACCCATTAATTTTGGGTAAATTCTCCCATTAATTCTTAAGCTTTTTGAAATAGGAAAACTCTCATGAGATGGCATTGCTAATTTGGGACACTGTAGTCACATGAACATCAATAGGACTCACTGAATAGAGAAAATGCCTTTTAAATTTAATTTTATGAGAATGTTGTTTAAAGTTTTACCTCTAACTTTTGTCAAAATTTTCAGTCAAATTTTCCAACATTTAAGGGTTGAGGACTAATAATTAAACTTTTCAAAAGTTAAGGGCGGGTCTCCCCTTGGTTGTAAGAGCCTGTTTGGTTTGAGGGAAATGGAAGGGCAGGGAGGGTAGGGAAAGTTTTTTTTGTTGAATTAAATTAAGATGTTGGCCAAAATCTTAATTTGATTGGATGAGAAAAATTTGCCCTTTCGCCTCCTTCATTTCTCTCAAATCAAATAGTTTCTAAGGGAGCTCTATCCCCAGTGAGAGATATATAATCTAATTCCAATATTTTCTGAACAAGTTGATAATTTTTGCAATCGTACTATTGACAGTTTTTTCTTCATGACAATCCTTCTTGATTATTCAGTTTTTTATTTTTATTTTTATTTTTTTATTGATTTAGGTACTTGGAGAGGCCTACCAAGTGTTGAGTGACCCAACGCAACGTCAAGCATATGATGCTTGTGGGAAATCCGGAATTTCAACGTTAGTTTCTTGTTCTCATATGTGAACTGATGAATGTCTGCAGAACTTAGAAAAAAGTATTAATAAAGATATTGCAGAATTCTCTTATTGCTCTTCTGTTTTTTATTTGCATAATCCTTTTCTTGCAGCGAAGCGATTATCGATCCTGCAGCAATTTTTGCAATGCTTTTTGGTAGTGAGCTTTTTGAGGATTATGTAGGACAGCTTGCTATGGCATCAATGGCTTCCCTAGACATTTTCAATGAAGGGGAACAATTTGATGCTAAAAAGTTGGAGGAGAGAATGAGGGTAGGACTTTTGGAATATCTATCTTCTTTTTGTCTGCCTGCTATCTGGCCTTGTTTAGCTTGGTAAAACTTAACTGAGAACTTATTGGTGACACAGAAAGAGTTGTGTGACAAAATAATTAGAGATAGAATCTTCATTCCATTTATGGTGAATGGGAAATTTGGTTTTTAAGATGAGGAAGGGGTAAAATTTTATTTCAGTCTTTAAAATTCCCACAGCTGACTTTAGCACCTAATGAAATGTATATATCAGGCCAAAGGTCAAGATAGCCATGTTATCCAAATTCAAAAAAGAAAAAAAAAAAGAAAAAAAAAAGAGAGATATATGTTTGTTTCATGTTATTCCATTAAAGAAATAATTTCATCTTTTTGTTATTCATCTCCCTGTCTTTGCAACTCAAAATTATTATTTTCTGCCTGTATCTCATGCTTCTGAATGTTTTCCATAATGTTTCAAGGTCATCACGTTGCATTTACTGGCTAGACAAAGTAAAATCTTTTCATCTCTCTTAAAAGTGTTTGCATTATCTTTGTGTTCAACCTGCCTTTTTTTATTTTTTTTCTCCAAAATACTTCACTGCAGGGTGTTCAGAAGGAAAGAGAAGAAAAGCTAGCAGAAACACTGAAAGATCGACTGAATCAATATGTTCAAGGAAGCAAAGAGGAATTTGTTAATCATGCTGAAGCTGAAGTATCAAGGCTCTCTAATGCAGGTATTTTATCTCATTTGTGCAGATTGATTGATTCAGATTGATAGATTCAATGTGTGTAACTCTACCCATTAAGTCAAACCACGAGTGAAATAGTTTGGCTCTCTAATAATGGATTGACCTCCAAAAGTTTTGCATAAAATGGAAATTTGGATGCTCATTAATGCTAAATCAAAATAAAGATATAATTAGAGTGCAGTATGCTCTTAAGTGTCATACTCCAATGTTGCACAGCCCCATAGGGGGTGATTATCAGCTCCTCAGGAGAATGCTTTATGGTCACTACAGGAGGAAAGCTTTTGTGATAAAATGTCCAAATGATCAGAAAAGGCTTATCCTCTCAAAGAATCTTAATGATCTAGTCATGCTTCTACCTTCTTTTTTATGTGATGAGCAAAACTCCTAGCCAATGGTGTATGCTGTGCCTAATGTGATGTGATCAATTGAATCTAGTGTTTAGTGCTCTATGATCTTTTGTTATGCTGGAAAACACAGATGAGAAAATTTCATGATATCTATGGCCAAACCCCCTATTTGCACCTTGCACATTAATTTTTTCCACAGTCAACATCCTCCATAATTTTCGCTCCCGGTCAACACCATCCATAATTTAAAACATGTAAAAAACCCCAAATTACAAACAAAATCAGGGTGCAAATAGGGAGTTTGACCGTTAATTTTTTAGTTTTTTATGGATTTTAAATTATGAAGGATGTTGACTGGGAATAAAAATTCTTAAGGGTGTTGACCACAGGGAAAAATACTGTGCAGAGTGCATATAGGGGGTTTGGCCTTAATCTATTCAAAGATAACTTCTTAAATTCTTATGAATCTGTAAAGAAAAATCATACAAAATCTAGGTCGATTTATTTACTGCAACTTGATGTCAACATGATTCTCAGTGTTATTTGGTTTGCTGATGGAGCCCTAAATTGGTCTACAATGCATAAGGATCAATTGATATGCTGTCAAATTTTGATTTAGGACAGGCATCATGTAGTTTATCCATCTTATTGCCTTTTATTTTTGGCCATCATCCATCTTATTACCTTATTTCCTCTTTACTTTGTTGGTCTTGTAAGTGATTGATGGCCATCTTCTGACATTTATTCATATGTTTTCAACAGCTTATGGTGTTGATATGCTGAATACAATTGGTTACATATATTCCAGGCAGGCAGCAAAAGAGCTTGGGAAGAATGCAATGTACCTAGGTGTCCCATTTATAGCTGAGTGGTTTAGGAACAAGGGCCACTTTATCAAATCTCAAGTAACAGCAGCAACAGGTTAGTCACTTCAAGGGTAATTAATTTGTCTAGTTTGCAACTTTTTTGGTATTTAGCGCAGTCAGACTTTGGCCACCATACCTGGTCTGTAATAATCTTGCAAAACAAAGTTGAAGTGAAAAAGTGGGGTATTGGTAGGAAGGAAAAAATAATGGGAAGGGGAAGGCTCTAATCTCTACTATTTTTTTTCCTTGTATAAAACTTTGTTACAGTGTTTATTTTCTATGGTAGAGAACATTTATGCAACTTTTTACCTGTCCCATTGGTCGTGTTAGGTGCAATTGCTTTGATCCAGTTGCAGGAAGATATGAAGAAGCAACTGAGTGCCGAAGGAAACTATACTGACGAAAAGCTTGAAGAATACATGCAATCCCACAAGAAGTTGATGATTGATTCCTTATGGAAACTTAACGTAGCTGATATTGAAGCCACCCTTTCTCGCGTTTGTCAGATGGTTATTTTTCTGATCTATTTTTACATATGGATGTTGGTTGTCACTGGTATGTTTTAGTTACAACCTGTAAATGTTAATTCCAGGTTCTTCAAGATAACAATGCCAAGAAAGAAGAACTTCGTGCGCGAGCAAAGGGGCTGAAAACTCTTGGAAAAATCTTCCAGGTATATTTTCTTCTCGTAGTCTGTCAAATTTTTTTGCTGCTTTTTCCTTTCCTTTTAATTTTTTCCTGGTGGAAATACTGTGGTACTAATATAGAGGACCAAGTCAGCCAACGGTAGTGAGAGTGAACCTGTGGTAAGCAGTGCGGTACACAAACAACTGAATGGAAGTGATACAAGCCATGATGGCAGTTCTACTAACACATTGCCAAAATCTTCAAACTGGGTAGAGTCATCTCATTCATCGATTGTATCACAGGTATGATTATTCCCTAATTGATAAGACCATTATTCCATCTATATATTGGTCATGGATAGTGAACTGTATTCATTAATTTCAATTTAACTGTTTGGCAATATATGGAATGAAAAGTTGTATCTGTACATTTTCTCGTCTCTGGTTAAAGGATTTGTGTTTGATCTTATTGTGTACAACACTAGGACTTGAAGCTTATGGACTTCATTTTATAGAATTCCTGTTGCATTGACCTGGTGGAAGGTAGAGGGGAAGAGAGTAAAGTATATGAGACAATTTTTTTTAAGATGAATTTAGATGAGACAATTTTTTTTAAGATGAATTTAGATGAGACAATTATCATTTAGTTAGTTTGGCAAGCAGTATGGTTAAAAGGATTTGAAGCAAAAACTAGAAATAATAAAAAGGGAAATGCTATATAATCCCTGCACCTTTAAATAAATGTAAGTGGAAATTGCACCTATCTCATGTGGGTTGGAGTTAGTGCACTTAAGCCCCAGAATTTTTTTTTTTTTTTAATGTGTGTTTTATCTCCCATGTGGTTTAGAGAATGGTGCGTCTCACCCCAGGAAAGTAACATCATTAAATATTGAGGTGAAAAGTCAAAAGACCATCAAATATAAAAAGGAAAAGAGAAAATAAAGGGGCATTTTTTACTTTTCACCCTCTGTAATTAACAGTATTAGTTGTTTGAGAGGTGAAACACACCTTTCTCTAACCACGTCAGGTGAAACACTCTTTTTATGATTTGGGGGTACTGCACACAGCCAAAACTACATGGGGTGTGTGCAATTTACAATTTTACAGTAAATGAAAAAAAAAAAAAAATTAAAGACTCGTTATTTGAGGGTATTCAAATAAGATGCATATTTGTTTATTGTGGAATAGCTGTTCTTTTGTTGAGATTAGGATGTGGAGAAGTCAAATGTAAGAGAGCCAGGGGTTATGATTGATTAGAAGTGATGGATGCTCTTTGCTCAAACCATAAAAATAGGGCCAAATTCAGAAGTTTACTTAATGAAGTTTGGAATACATATTCCTTGAAATTGATAGGTTTTTTTTTTTTTTGTTTTATTGGTTTTAAATTAGGGGAAAAGCAAGAAATACATATTCCTTAAGAGGAGGTGGTAATAGCCATTCCCTAATCATCCTCTAATTTAGTAAAAAATTATTAATCTTATAGGTATTCACAAATTCTTAAGTTTCTCAATTTTGTTTATTTTTATTATGGTTTGTCTAAGGAATATCAATTACTCTCAACCAAACATAACGCAGATGTGTATGTTACTTCTTTTTATCAATGCCACTTTTTATTATTATTATCTTCAAACGCTAATGGTTTGACATTATTGGTTATCCTAGAGCCCATATGTGGAGGCACCCCACTTTGCTGATCCTCCATTTGGCTATAACTTCCCAATGCCAACAGCGCCACCTGGTGCACAAAGACCTTCTTGAGGTGGAAAAGATACGTGCGTTTGATCCAGTCATAATATGTTATATATATTAAGGTGGCAGTAAGGGAAGCAACTGCAGTTTCTGTTTGTTGAATGCCTTTGTTGGAGCACTTTCGAGAGAGCTCATACTGCCCCCGAAACGAGCAGGCATGGTATAATATATTTATGGCAGATAATTACCCATATGATGCATAGTGAAAGATGGTTGTAGGAGGACATAACTATTTCCATTGACTCAAGCTGGATGTGATTGCCTGCCCGTTACTTGAATACTCCATTTTCTCGAGATAGTTCTGCTTCGTTATGTGTTTTGGTTTCCAGAATGTACATTTAGGTCCTAGTTTTTGGTTAGCACGTTCTTCTCTAGGAGATGTATTGTATCATTTGTATTAAAGCAAGGAAAAGAAACAATGACTGTAATATATTTTGTTGTTTGTGCTCTCCAGGATTTTATGTTGCTTAAATCCATCTTATTCAATGTCCTAAATCTTGTATTTGTTTCTTTGCCTTTCCACCAATAAATATAAATCAGCTCGAGAAATGGAGACACAAAACGAGAAGAAGTCATCGGCGGTGTCTGATGTCGGAACCTGGGCTATGAACGCCATCAGCTCGGTCGGAATTATAATGGCCAACAAGCTGCTCATGTCTTCCGCCAGCTATGCTTTCACCTTTTGTATGTGTGTCTCCGGGCCATTCTAATTCTCATTGAAGACACTAGAAATCCTTTGGATCTCTTAGAGATGAGATCTAAACTGACAGCATTCGTTTTGTGTTGTTTTTCATTTTCAACGATGACTTTGAGGGGGTTCCACTTCGCCAGAACGGCGGTGGTCGGACTGGTTTCCAACGCTACTGGTTTATCCACGTCCAAGCGTGTTTCTTTGTGGGAGCTTCAATGTTTCTCCATTGTTGCCAATACGTCCATCACTGCCATGACTTTCAGCATCATGTTCAACTCTGTTGGTTTCTACCACGTACGTTATTTTTCTTTTGCTCAATTTATTTCTTTACAATTTTCTTTACAACTTAATTAGCATTTCTGCGCAACATCGTTTTTGTTAACATTTCATATAGATCCCGCAGAAGACTGTTGAGATCTTTGATCATTTGGTACTTTACTTTTTGATCCACCATGTTTTTATCACTTTTTTTTTTTATTTTTTTTTATTTCACAAATCTGAGTGTTGGTTTGGTTGGATCATGGATGGGATGCCTATTTCATGGCCAGAGCATAAAACTAAGAGAATTTAGAGAAAGCAATGAATTCAAGTAAAAAGTGAGAGTTTAGATTGAATAGCCAAAACTTAAAAGGGAGGTTTTATTATCTATTCCTACATTATTTCATCATGTTGGAAGAAAATTGGTAAAAGCAAGGAATAGCCAATTAACTATTCCTCCAACCAAACATGACCTTAACGAAGCAAGCCAACACATGCCCTTCTTGGTTTATTTCTTTGCCCACACACCCCCTTCTTCGCTAATTATCTTATTTTTTTTATGTTGTAGATCTCAAAGTTCAGCATGATCCCAGTCGTTTGTGTGATATCCTTCACAGCAAGCACTACTAAAAGGAAGTTAAAATGTCTGTTGTGGTTGTGGTTATAGGGGTGGGCATTTGCACTCTGACTGATGTCAAAGTTAATGACAAAGGTTTTATTTGTGCCTGTGCAGCAGTTTTGTCTACATCATTGCAGCAAATTGTAAGTTTTTCTCCTGGCCTTACTCAGTTTCATCTTCGTAGCTGATAGTTTTCTAACACAGTTGCTGATCTGATTAGCTTTAACTTATTTTTTGATTCTTTTCTCTTGATCTATTATTGCTTCCTAGTAAGTGTGTATTGTGTTCGTATGATAACGTTTTTCCAATATATTAATTTGATGTCTGAGGTAAATTAGTTGACTTAAACATGATATATGTGAACTTCTCTTTTTGGCGTGCTTATGCCAAACCTTGAGATCCAAATCATTTTGCTTTCTGTTGTTATCAGGCCATTGCTTGGTCATCTTGCTCCTCTGGATTAAGCCTTATATATAATACATTTACGTGTGTGCATTTATACTTACTTCCTTTGTATTAGTATTACTACGGTGTTCTCTGCCACTTGTGCCTTGGCTTGGGCTTAGAACAAATATGACCACCTGTGGTTTTTTACATTGGTGTAGTCTTGTGTGCACGGTAAACTCATCTTGCAAGCTTATATGCAATGCTTTGTGGGTGTTAGTCGGCATTTTTCTTATCTTCCAGTTTCAATATCTGATAAAGCTTAAAAAATTTTGAATTGATCTAAAATGGTTCGTGCAACTCATTCTTTCCTATTCACCTGAGCTCTTAGGCTCTGCAAAAGAGTCTTCATGATATGATAATTCTTGTAATATGAATCTTAATCTATACTTCAGTACTTTTACATGGTGTTTTATGCAGAATTAAGTTTTACAAAGTATAGTTTCGATTTGTTTATTTGTGAAACAAACAGACCATAGGTTCCTTACAGAAGAAGTGCTGGATTGGATCTTTTGAGTTGCTGAGTAAAACAGCCCCAATTCAAGCCATATCTCTTCTTATTTTTTGGTCCATTTGTGGATTACTTCCTTAGTGGAAAATTTGTAACAAGCTATAAGATGACCTCCGGTGCCATTGTTAAGTATCAATTCTTTGTCCAAGAGCCTACCAGCCTGCTGAATGCTAATCCGTCAAATCAATGCTTACTCTTTTAGGGTCTGATCTTTTGCTGACTCTTATTGAATCTGATCTAAATCATGCAGTTTTTTATACTCCTCTCATGCTTTGGCCGTGTTCTGCAATGTCAACCAGTACCTCTGCATTGGATGATTTTCTGCGACATCATTCCAGGTGTTAGGTCACATGAAAACAGTATGCATTCTCACTTTGGGGTGGCTGCCTTTTGATTCTGCACTGACTTTTAAGAACATTTTGGGAATGATTCTAGCCGTGGTTGGCATGGTCATTTATAATTGGGCTGTGGAGGTTGAGAAGCAGGCTAACGCCAAGGCCTTGCCATCAATGAAGAATAGCCTGACAGTCACAGAGGAGGAAATTAGACTTCTAAAGGAGGGATTAAAAAACATTCCAATCAAGGATGTTGAACTCGGTGAGTCCAGAGTTTAGGTAGATTCATTAATGAAAATACGAGGTAGTTTCTCACTTGTTTCAATTCTTCATATGTTGTTTTTGTCGTTTGTGCTGGCAGGACTCCATTTCTATATACGCTGACCTCCCACACATTCATTTTTTTTAAAAAGATTATTATTATTATTATTATTTGTAATTCTTATCATTTTATTTATTTATTTATTTTTTAACTGAGGCAAATAGGGGTTATATTGAGAGAGGGAAAATGGAAATGCAAAAGAATTAAACTTTGATAGTGTGGGTAAAACACTTATATAATGACCATATAAGATACAAAATAAGACTCAAATTATTTTTTTATATGCAAAGAAATTAGTCAGAGAGATTATGATGGGGCTGTTGAAATGTCACAACTATAAGTTAGTGAAAAACTTTTATATCGATGTTTATTTTTTTTTTATAAAAATAATTCTCAATCACAATATCAACAAATATTAATGTAATTTTTTAGAGAATAAATCCAATGTTGTAAGTTTTTCTTAGAATAGACTCCGCATTATCATAAAAAAATTAAACAATTAAGACTGAAGAACTATTACAAATGAATAAACATAGCATCGACACTTAGCATTTAACAAGCAAAACCAATTAATCCATCACACAATTATAATTTAGAAGGATTAAACAAAAACTTACCTTTTAGATGAAGATTAGAGAGAGGAAAGAAAAACTAGTGATTATTTCACCCAATCAGACTAAAATACATCTTTTCATGAAAAATTTTCCCAAAAAAAAAAAAAAGAGAGAAAATTTTGACAAATTTTGAACAAATTTTGGATAAAATCTAAGTTCCACCAATCCAACTAGTCTTTATGTAAGAGGGGAGAAAAGAGGGGAGAAAGGTTGAAGCACAGACCCATGACAGAGGGGGCTCCATTGTAAATCAGGATGAGTAGGGCTTGACCAAAAAGGGGGAAGCTGAAAACAAGGATGATTGGAATTTCATTAAGTGGAATTACGTCGTTGTACACATGAATCTCCCAAAAAATTATGAAGGTGACACTTGCAGTCCACTTCCCTTTTAAATTAATGAAGACTTTGTTTTTATATATATAAAAGATTTACTTGTTATATTTCTTTTCAATTAATTAATGATTATTTACTTTTATTTTTCTATTAATTCTTAACTCAACCATACCAATCTATAACCAAAAAAAAAAAAAAAAACTTGATCACACCAAATTAATTTTCAATTTGAGTGAATTAATTACTGTAATAAATTAAAAATATACTCTTCATGTTTTAAAATAATTATGTTTTTTAAAAATTTTAAAATAATTTATTTAAATTAAAATTAATTTTTATTTATATATATTAATAATAAAACGATATTCTTAGGAAAAGGTACAGAATAAAAAATTTCAAAATAAAAAACTATAAGACCAATCGGTCCCTCCAGAATTATCCGGAGGGGAAGGGAAGCCAAAAGGTCCCGAAAGAGAATAAAACAGAGAAACAGAAATCAAATTCCTCGATGGCTGAAGAAGGGAAGCCGGATGAACAGATGTTCCACCTTCTTTCCAATCTCCTCCACCAGGTATCGCCTCAATTGAATCGTGGATTCTTTCTTTTTACTAATTGAAAGAAATTTATGATCTGGGTATTTTTAATACTTGATCATTGTAGGCATATGTAAAAGATCATGTCTTTTCAACGGAACAATTCTCTTGGGTTGTCAATTTGATTCCCATCCCGCAAATTTTGAGCGGTGGTCCTTAGGGCTTTTTTTTTTTATGATGACTGCTAAATTATAAATGCAAGTAAGGTTCTGTTATTGAGTGTGATTATTCAATAAAAATTGGTTCTGTTATTGAGTGTGATTATTCAATAAAAATTGGTTCTGTTATTGAGTGTGATTATTCAATAAAAAAAGGTTCTGTTATTATTATTATTATTTTCTTTTAAGAAGACATGGTTATGGATCTTTTCCTCTTTTAGGCCATTGAGAAGCAACATGCACCCTTATAGGTTCTTTTATAAGTGTTTTTTCCTTTAAGACATGATTTAATATCATTTCATAGTAGTGATTTTGGCAACTGATTCTATTTCATGAGTTGGTGTCCATGTTTAATGGAAATCTAACTGAAAGCTCATTAATGTGTTGGTGTCCATGTTTCAGTCACATTTCCATGTTTAATGGAAATATGACTGAAAGCTCTTAACAACCATACTTTCAGTCACATTTCCATTAAAAGAAGCTTCACTACGCTCCTGTCCATCTTTTTTCCATAATTATTAGGGGCTTCCACACTGCTAATGCCCAAAAAGAAACAAAGTTTTGGCAACTGATTCTATTTCATCATATTTGGATTCCTGTCATGTATATTGTATGCTTTAAAATTAATGTGTAGGTAGAAGCACTGACTAATCAGGAAGAAGTTGAATTGCGTTCCAAAATTGAGGCCCTTGGGTTGGAGGTTAAGAAAGTCCCTTCAAAGTCCGTTCAGAACCTTGATGAGGTATGTAATCTATATAAGCCATTACTATTCCCTCCTTAGAAACATTTGAGTATGGAAATGGATGTAATGTCATACATGTTTGCTTTTTCTTTTCATCAGCTGGAAATAGCCAGGGAATTGGATAAATTATCCGCAAAGTTGAATGATGTAGATGATATGATATCTTCAGCCATGGCTTCAGATCCACAGGTGCAGTCTCTATTGAGCAGTACTGCCAATTTATGGATGCCCGTTATTACTGCCACTGCTGATGAGCGACGGCACTTCACGGGCTCATCTTCAGTTGGGGAGGATAAGGGTCAAGTCAAAGAAAAAGTTTCCAGTTAAATTCTCAACTTATTTTAATTTTAATGGAAATGTGACTGAAAGCTCTTTAATATGTTTGAACTTCTTTTAAAATAAATAAAATGTTCATCTTTTTACTGAATTTATCATGTAACAAGTTAAGCCATCTCCAATTGGGGCAACGCAAGTGTTGTCCTCTTACCCCGTTGGAGTGGAGATGGTTTCCCTGGGTAACACTACTTTGTGTTACCATTACTCAAATGTAACAACAGCATTTTTCTTTTCTACTCTATATATATATTTTCAAGTTTGGGGAATGTGTGATGAGTAAAACAATGTTGATGCAACTTTTAGGGAGCATTTTTGTTTCCCAGCATAGCACATGTGTAAATTGAATAAAATAATGAGTGAGGATGATGTACCAGGTGGCGTTAGTCAAGTAACATCTATTGTGGATGCTTTTAGGTTACCATATTACACACTTTAAATAATCATCTTAATTTGTATTAGCAATTTTGCTTCTTCTATTTCCTACCTCAGACAAGGAATACAACACAATCAACCTTTTTCATTGTTCAAATATTGAGAAAACTACTAATTATAATACCTCTAGTAAGAAAATTGTAGACTATTTTGAATGAATCTTGAAAAATGGAGCATTCTAATCAGATTAGCAATTTTTGTTCTTTCATCATCTGTAGCCTCTCTACATAAAATCCTCACTTTCTCCATTTATTCCACATGACTTCTTGCAAGCACTGCCCGGTCTATCCTCTAATGAGTCAGCTGCATCAAGAAAACTCTTGTAGAAGTTTGGAACTCTGGAAATTTCATATTCATTAGCGATCCTACGCCTAGAGTTTTGTGAAGATGTGATCCTGGTCATAGCATGCCGTTCCTTGATTTTGGCATTGTGATAAGCAGTATTGCTTCCACCAAGCCTCAACCAATCTATCTTGGTCTTCTGCTGTAACATTAACATTTGCAGTGCTTAATTGCACCAAAGATGATAGCTTTAGAGTGGTTTTGTTTGTTTGAAGGGGAAGGAAATCAGTTTGAGACTTGGGTTGATTTTTGGTAGGCTCCCAAGATGTCTCATAGAAGAGTGTCAGAGTAGCAGCAGCAGAGGCGGATTCTGTGGACTCAAACTGCAGGTACTCGAAGAGAATGGAGGATGAGCTTGCTGATCCTGCTGCATAAATTACTTTTATCTAGAAGCATTTAGAAAAGAGCAAAAAGGAAGGGACTTTTTAATCTGTTGCTTAATGGAGTTCATGCTACTAGGTTCCTGCAGAAGCCAAATGGAACCTATATTATTCCTTTTGAGAATCTGCCGACAGAACCAACCTTAACAACATTTAGTCTTTGGTAGCAAAACACTTAATATTATGCTCCATCAGCTACCTTCTGTCTTTCTTTTCTTTTGCTTTTTTTCCAGTCCTTTTTTCCTTTTATTGTGCAGAATCAATAACTTATTTTACATGTAAGTGTTACATAAATTATTAACTGTCTATTTCTAAATTCAACAATTTGAGATATATTACTAAATATAGCAATATTATTTTCATTTGTTGGATTACAGCTGATTATTATATAACACATATATGTCTAAGTGGAACTTCACTCCTTTTTATTAATAGCTGGCCATTATGGCTACTGCTTATACTTGTAACTTCTTTTTCTAAAGATATGTTAGATATCCTTTTTATACCTATTTCTTCTATTTATTTATTTGTTCATTGATTGAGTGCAAGAACAGGCCCAGTTGAGATCAGTGGACCAACTGAGAGGGGCAGCTGTCTCGATCTTATCTGCAAGAGAGCAGAGTCGAATGCTTGCACATACACTGGCTCAAAATAATGACCCAAAATTTCAGGTTGTGTACTCTAGTGTCTCAACCATGACTTCTTTTTTCCATGTGGTATTCATGTGCTTTAATGGTCTGGTAATGCTCGTGAGTGGTCAGAAATGCACACATCTTGTAATGGATATTGTAGACATCTCTAAATGGTGGGTTAACCTCAGGAGGCAGGACCTTAAAACCTTATGATGTGTCGTTGGGGAAATTAGAGCAGTTAATGCATTGATTAAGAATTGTTGCCATGAGCCAACGACCTACGCTCGGTGGTAATCTTTTTTAACTGAAAATAAAAAATTTTAAATTTGAATCGTATAATATGTAAATAAAATAGAGTAAAGAATGAGATATGTTATCTTCTATTATACAACCAAGATTAAAAAAAAAATAATTGTTGTCATAAGAAATAAACATGTCAAAGTTAGAGTTAAATTAAAAATTCGATTCAAATTACCTACTATAGATAGAGTCATGAATCTAAAATATCAATTTGAAATCTAATATGATCCAAACCAAAATTACTCTCAAATCCAATTGGATTGGGTCAAGGTACAGCTAAACCAAGCTAACTTGAAATGATATTACTGAAATTAATTAATTTTTTTAAAATTTAAAATATTAATTAATTGTACTTTTAATTTTAAATTTTAAATATAAATCAAATTTAATATTATAAAATAGTTATTGTTTATTAGATTGTTAATTTAAATATTAATTTAACATATTTTTGACAAAAATAATTAATAAATATTAAATTTTTAAAAAAACAATAGAAAAAATATAAAAAAATATTAATTTTAATTTTTAAAAAATAGATCCACCCAGCTCAATTTAAGATTCTGTAAATGGGTCATATGTCTATCTTTTCTAATTCAAAATCTTAAAGGTCCCAACCCAATAAATTTAGAATATGAAGTAATTTGGTCTGAATCCATTTGCCAGGCCTAATCAGAAATGCTCTACTACATGGTTTTTGTGTTGCCTCCATCTTTTGAAAGCATAAATTGTCGAAGCATTTCATCTGTGATAGGATTCTAGAGTTTCTCAGTTTATTATGAACACCAATTTATCAACATCACTACTTGTTCAGTCGGCATGCAGCTCCTTGTAACCTTAACCAATGCCAAAGCTGCAATTATTAACTTGCATGTAGGCTGGTAGATAGGATTCTAGCTTTGTCCTAGCTGGTTCACCAGTGAAGCTGATTCCAGCAAGCACAACAGTGCATGAAAAAGCAGGAAAACGTCCTGGTCTAGATTTCATTGTGGTATAGACAGGAAGGTTCAAGCCAGCCCTGTGAGCAGTATCTTGAAGCAAATCCTTGTAGACATCCTGTGCATTAGATGCATAACAAAAAAATATTATTGATTACTCTTTCCAGGAAGATATTGAACAAACTGAAAAGAATGGTAAGAAATAAAAAACTCACATTATGCAAAATGTAGAGTCATCTTAAGGAAAGAGATAAGAAGGTTCCATTACCCAGCTTAACCTTTCTTTATATTCCCTCCAAATTATATTGGACTCTAACATTAATAACATTAGGGAAACCTCTTTTTTTTTGGGATAGATTTCATTAAAAATAAATTATCATCAATTACAAGTTACAACTCAACCAGATGTCCCTACGACTAAACCGGTAATTACAAATATATAATATTACATGATAACCCACACAACAGGGAGGAAAACTGAAAAACAATGAGATTCAAATTCAAACCTGAGACCTAATGGTTATAGGGCTTCTGTCCTTTACGATTGAGCCAAGATTTCATAGGCAGTGAACTTCCTTCTTCACACATTGCATTTATTACTACCTAAAGATTATCCTAGGCAGAACCAGACCCAAAAACATTGCTCCGGAAAACAGAAAACTGATGAGGAGCTCCATCTACAAGAACAAAAAAACTGCAATGCAAAAGTTCAAATATAGAAATATTTGAAATTCCTGAATTGAGGATCCTGGTATGGTAGTGGCTGATGCCGGACCCATCAACTCTTTCTCTAACCATGTCCATTGCGAAGCCCCCAAGATACTTCCATCACTAGATAAAGGATCTCTGTGATATCTACTATTTAAGAGTCTAATATAAAGGGATACTGATTGATATATTCAACATATTACTTAACATATTTTAAAAAAATTTATTATTATTTTTATCTAAAATTGAAAACAAATAAATATAAAAATATA